TCGCGTCTTCATTTAAATTTACATGCCTGCCGCGCTGAGCCAACAAACAGCTGATCAGCTGTTTGTCGGCTCAGCTCAGCAGCCATGTAAATTTAAATGAAGCCGCGATTATTTAAATCACGGCTTCATTTCCCTTTGCCAAAAAAACAAATCTACATGGCTACGAAGGAATTATGGGTGTACGCAAAGAGTCATAAAAATCAGGGCTTCTCTACTCAACCATTATCGCTCACACTGACAAGCCAAACTTTGGGAGCAAAGACGTACAAACCAATAGGTTGGCCATGCATTGCACTAACCTTCTGAGTCTTGGTTCTTTCGGGTGTAGTTCATGTGGAACACAAAAGCCTCCAGGTCATCACCACCTGGTAAGGGAATCAGAACGAATAAAGCATCACAAGGTTTGTAACTGGGATACCCTTCCAAACACTTCCATCTGAACTTCGGCTGCATTCCCTCAACCCACCCCCTCCTTCAGCAGAGGGAGAGTACAAATTCTAATTCATGAGTCTACATGATGTGACTGTGTAACAGCTTGCCAGTGACCTGGGATTGGGTAGTGTGATAAGATGAGGCACCACTGCATACCACTATCACTCCTATCCAGCTAAATTATGTGTCAACGCTGGCAACACCTGTAGTTATTGCCACTCCAAAGTTAGTGAAAGTGATTTGGACAGTATCTCAACTACTCTTTGTAAAAAGAGGAGAAGTTCTCTAACTGACCTTGGATTCTTCCATTAGAGTGGAGCAAGACTGCCTGAAGTGCATTAAATGCCAAAGAAGGCAAAAATATCTGAGGACCTACCTTTGTCACAATGTAGACAATCATGAAGTAGAGGCGGCTCCAGTGAGAGGTTTGTGAGGTCACCCCTTCCTAGGAACAAGTGACAGTTCAGTGGCATGCAAAGAGGAGAGAAGTTGCTATTAATCCCGAGAGCAGAAAAAGCAGCAGGCACCCCAAATATAACTCTGTACCTCATGAAATGAGAGACATATCTAACCCCAAGGGCTGCACCCGCAATACTCATAACACCAGCTAGAGGCTGGTCTTTCTTTTAAACGGTTGAACACAGATTCCCATATAATACTTAGATGTGTAAATGCACCCATCACTATTACATGTGTAACAGAAAAGTGTAGCAATAGCTGTCTACATATCTAGCGAGTTATATAGAGTGTGTCATCTAGCACACTAAGCTACAGTAAAGAAGTGCTTGAAGAGTGAGGTCACCACCACCTTTACACCAAAAGGTACAAAAGGACTGCCATGATACATTTAGAATTCTTTAGATTAACAATCTTGAGGTTATCCCAAAGCAGATTTCTCGTGTGGCATTGCAGAGAATGGCAGACATTCAAACAGATAAATTAGTAGGTGAGAGAAGAGAGAGGAGAGGAGGAGCATTCAGAAGACTGAACAACGTTATTTAGAAATACAGGAAGTAAGTGGGCAGCATTCAGAATCTGCCATCTTCTCCTCAAAACCATTCAGAACTGCTCAGAGAACACAAGCTCTACAGCGCTGAATCAGCCAGTGGCAACCAGCTTGTCAAGATAGCTGAGTGATGTTCCTCTGGAGGGCAGATCCTGGCAGGTAGTGCAACTGGCTTGTACCATCCACCTCAGCCAAAGCTGGCTGCCTTCCCTCAGATGCAAAAATGAGGTATGCTACAGAGAATCTTACCCTGCAAGAGTGATGGTAAATTGATGAGAAAAAAATCTAAGTACCCCAAGATCTGCTTACCATGATGATGTACCAATCATTGACTACTGTGAACTCAAACAGCGTAACTGTATGGAGACAGAAAAGAAATAACCAAAGAAGTGCTTTATCCAACCTAACCAGTTTCAAAGTCATTACAAATGACTGTTGCCCCTATTATGTGCTTCCCTCCTTTTCAGAAGATACCTCATTTTAGTGTGGTCAACAGAGACCAAAATACTTGGGTGCTGTTGACAGGAGATGGATTCTGCTTTGTTACATCAGTAAATCTGGAGTCTCCCCCACTGAGGACAGTGGAGTGATTCTAGGTTAGACCTTTATAACACCAGAGCACAGTTTGGCATGTCTTAGTAAAACCAGGAGTTTGCCAGGCAAGTACACACTAAACAAGACTTTGGAAAGATCCACAAAGAAATTAAAACGTATCCTCCTCCTTCTCCAGGCCTGATTCATGTTTAAAAATCAGGGGGTGAGAGTGGGAGGGGCGGGGAAATCAGCATGAAAAATTATTTTCATGAGTGACAAAATCAGTATTGGAAGCTCAGCAAGGGAGTGAAGTAATGCTTTCTATTCATTTCTGGAAGCATGAATTCAAAACTGGTTCAGATCACAAGTCAAAACAAGCCTGCAGGTTTCACTCAGGCTGGTCTCCAGGTTATGTTTATTTACCTTGTAAATCACTACACCGTTGGGTTTAGTAGCTAACAGCAGAAACCAGGATAGAAAGAAGAGAATACTGCAGGTTTGAGAAGTAAAAGCAGAATTTTGTTAGGGATCCAGAACAGGGGTACTGCAGGTCAGAGCCACATGTGGGGCATGGGGGGGGGGCAGTTAGAATAGGACGAGCCTGACATGCATTGGGGACAAGAAGGAACCATCAGCAGGTGTTCTACAAGATTTATTAAGAGCTTCACTCCTCCACAAGCTTCACACGGGGTCATGCTGCATTATGTAGCAATAGATGTGAGAATTTGATCAGCAACAGAAATGAGAATTTTGATCAACAATAAGAACCAATATTCCTCTTACCAAAGCTGTTCAAAATGTTGTCAAAGTTGTTGAGATAGAAATAACCTTCTTCCACAACTGTCTTGTTGCCAACTGTGTGATTCACCCAGCGATAGGCATCTGCCACTGTGCTCATGCTGATCAGAGAAGCCAGGACAAATCAAGAATGAGAAGAGCTCTGGAAAGATGTGTTGACAGACACTTACATGCTTAAAAAGCTGTGCGTAAGGAGGCTATTTTTCCTTCTTGCCAACACTTGTTGCATTTTGAAGCCCATTCTCTAAAGTGGTACCTCTCAGGGGCACCTTAGCATCATACATATTACATGGGTACATTGCTGTGGCATAATCATAGAACAAACATCTCAGTCCCCAGCTGCAGCAGGCACAGATTCAAATACTCAGCTGTATCAACCAGCATGTTACCACTTAGCCCTGCTTTACCCCTCTCACTTTAAACACATCCATTGGATTTTTCCTGGTAGACAAATACATACAAGATCCCTAATGCTCATCGCTTGGCATTGAACCAGGCTATTAACAAGGGCATTTCAGAGGAAGGTGGTTGCTGGGTACTCACTTGCAGCAGTTTGGGTAGACAACCCCAGAGAAGAATTCCATGCCGACAATGGCAAAGGAGTAGTAGAAGATAAGCAGGGTTAAACCCAGGCTGGAAGAGAAAGCAACAAACAAAACAAAAAACAAAACAAAATGACTGTTTTTCCACAGGTTGCAAGGACAGAGAAAAAGGAAGTGGTGGTTTGTGAGAGATGGAAAATTGCCTACCAGATACAATAATCCCCCATGAAGCATCTAGGCCATCTCCCTTCAATGATGCTTTGTGCAGTGTTTTGTTTAGACTATTTTTAAAAGTCTCAAGTCATGGAAGTCTGTACCACTCCCTTAGTGAGAAATAAACTCTGAGAATCTTGACAGACTTACATTCTTTCCATTAAGCCACTAAATAATTGATCCCCACACCCATTTCTCTAATGAAGCAAACTAACATGGGTCTATCCTCTGTTTCCTTGGTCATCAACAGCAATGCCAGAACATTTTCAAGAATAAGGTAGTTAATATGTCATGGATACAAGCAGATCTGCAGCAGGGGAATAAGATATTGTGATATCATATACTGACAACAGCTGCTTATTTCATTACACATCAGTCTGCAATAATTAACCTGTCTGGTTCCCTATTGTATTAAGGGACATGAGATCACCATGGGTGTGTATATATCTTTGCACAAAAAGTATCAGCACTTAAATGTTACCCTGGAAATGGCAGAACCACATTAGTATTTCTTTGACATGCTACCTATTTTTCCCTTACAAAGAGGGCTGTGCAGTACCTGGCCATCCTCGGGAACAACTCAGACATTGTGTCCAGGACATTCCTGTAGCGCTTCTTCAATTTAAAAATCCTGAAGAAGGGATGAAGAGCCATCAGTTAATTCAGGAAGGAATTACCCTCGTTACTAATCTGCATAAAAACAAGCAGCATATAGCAGCAGAAAGCCATGGGAGGAGCCTGACTACAGGTGCAGCCAGAGGCTACGCTAAAGAAGAGCATTACAACACTATCAGACTGGGCATTCCTCAATGTGATGCTACTAAATGAAAGGTGGACTGTGCAACTGCATTTAGCCATGGAGGTACTGATAGCAGAAAAAGATATAACATGACCCACTGGCTGGAAGCTGAAGCTAAGCAAATGTGGATCTGAAATATGGCATTAGGATTGTTCAGATAGGGGACATGAGTACAGCCCTGCAAATCCATGGATATTCATTTGATATCCACAGCTCATTTTTGCAGAGACAGAGACAGATACAAATTTCTTATCTAGACCCCAGCAAATTTGCAGATATCCACTCCAAATCTACAGATATCAATTAAGATATCTGCTGGTCATTTTTGCAGACACACCTGAGGAAACAGGGCTCTAGACATGATAACTACTTTTCAAGTAGAATAGTAAGGGGGGAGGGGGAGAGAGAGAAATTACTCACCTTAACCTCTGACAAGACAAGCAGCAACAGGCTTAAATTGCAGCAAGGGAGATTTAGGTTGGCCATCAGGAAAAATTTCCTGTCCAGGTTGTTAAGCACTGGAATACATTACTTATGGAGGCTGTGGAATCTCCATTATTGGAGATTTCAGAGCAGGTTAGACAAACACCTTTCAGGGTTGGTCTAGATCAGGGGAGGGCAATCATTTTTGATTGGGGGGGGGGGTCACTCCAAGAATCTGGAAAGTGTTCAAGAGCCACATTCTTCTAGGCTATTAATGGAAGAGGTGCAGGGTTGCGGGATGGAGGTTGGGTGCAGAAAGGAGCTTGGGTGAAAGCAGTTGTGATTTGGGGCACTGACTGGGCTGCAGGGGGTTGATTGTGACATAGGGCAGGGAAATGGGGTACAGGAGGGAGTGCTGGGATTTGGTTGTGAACTAGGGAGAAGGGGAACTGATCTGTGGCAGAGGATTGGAATGCCAGATCTAGGAGGGAATATGGCTGCAGGAGGGGGGCAGGATTTGAGTATGTGAAATAAGGAGCAGGAGTGGGGGAAGGGAGGGTACCAGAGGTAGGCTCTGTCAGGAGAGTTACCAGCCAGCAGTAGTTACTGTATCAGCCTCCCTGTCTGCCCCACTCCTGCACAGATGGCTACAACCATGTTCTCTGGAGCCCTCCTTGTGCTTCATTGCTGTCTGTTATTGAAACACACAGCTCTCACTGGCCAGTTTTTGGCCAAAAACCAGCCAATGGGATTGTGCTGGGGTGAGAGCATCTCCTAAAGCTTTCCTCCTCTCCCCTCCTGACTCATAGTTTTTAAAGAAAAACCACCCCACAACCACATTTTGAGTGGAAAGCCTGCCTGGGGATCCCTGCAGCATCTGTGGGCCAGATCCGGTGGCTTGGTGGGCTGGTTCTGGCCCACAGGCTGTATTTTGCCCAGGCTTGGTGTAGAATCATTGCAGGGTACTGGACTAGTGACCTCTTGAGGTTCCTTCCAGTTCTATAATTAGTTACCCTCACTGATAAAAATTTGTCATTGGAACAACTGTTAGAGGGTTGTGGTAGATATCTACCACTGCCAATTTTTAAATCGAGAGGATGTTTTCCTAAAAATTCTGCTCTGGGAATAATTTTGGGGAAGTTCTGTGGCTTGTGCAAGCAGGGTACTGGACTAGTGACCTCTTGAGGTTCCTTCCAGTTCTATAATTAGTTACCCTCACTGATAAAAATTTGTCATTGGAACAACTGTTAGAGGGTTGTGGTAGATATCTACCACTGCCAATTTTTAAATCGAGAGGATGTTTTCCTAAAAATTCTGCTCTGGGAATAATTTTGGGGAAGTTCTGTGGCTTGTGCAAGACAAGAGGTCAGACTAGATGATCACAACTGTCCCTTCTAGCCTGGAAACCGTTGAATTATTTTGCTCTTCCATTATTTACCAATATTTGCCTCAGAGGTCGAGTGATAGAGGATGTCATCTCTCTTTTCACCAGCAGATCTCAAAGAGTTTCATACAGGAGGGCTGTAACATTATCCCTGCTTTATAGATGAGGAAAACAGACATGACAGGGAAATGCCTTGCCCAAGTTACAAAGCAAGTCAGTGGCAGAGTCAGACACAGAACCCAGGTCTTCAAAGTACCAGCTCTCTATCCACTAGGTAACACTGCCCACTTTCAATTGGTTGGGATATTTATACTTCACATGCATTAAAAAAAAGAGGACAAGTGAGGCTTCCCAGAACCTCATCCAGATCTTTACCCAATCAAATATAATCTTTGTTTCCATGGGTAAGTCCCACTGCTTCATTTGAGGATCAACATTATGCATAAAAAGGGGTTTGCAGGATGCTTCAGGACAAGGACAGTGTCTTACTTAAAATCATGCATAAATACACTTTTGATAAGCAGCTCCATCATTAACATGCATATACTTGTCATTCATAAAATTCTAGGGCTGGAAGAGACCTCAGGAGTCTGAGTCCAGCTCCCTGCCCAAAGCAAGACCAATCCCAATTAAATCATCCCAGCCAGGGCTTTGTCAAGCCAAGACTTAAAACTTTTAGGGATGGAGACTCCACCACTTCTCTAGGTAACCCATTCCAGTGCTTCACCACCCTCCTAGTGAAATAGTTTTTCCTAATATCTAACCTAGACCTTCCCTACTATAACCTGAGACCATTGCTCCTTGTTCTGCCATATGTTCACAGAACACATTTTAAAGCTGAACTCATGCCAAGATACAGGCATAACTATCTCAGTTTTTTCCTGAAATAATCAATGGGAGAAAGTTGCATTCCTTACACAACCATCATCACAGACTTGAGTGCAAGCTTTGGTAGGCGAATAAGTGTGATTAACCTAATTTTGTAAGTCCTTATGTGTATTCCTTTAACAAGCAGGGATCCTGGATAATTGATCTAGGGGACAGAGAACTGGACTAGGACTCAGGAGACCAGGGTCCATTTCCAGCTCTGCCATGAGACTTCCTAGTTGACCATGGGCAAGTCACATTGCCTCTTTTGGCCTAAATTTGCCTTCTGTAAAATGGAGATATGATACTGACCTCCTTTGTAAATGATGAAAAGTGCTATACCTCCTTTTACTGATGAAAAGTGCTATATAAGGATTAGGTTATCATTTATCTTTAAAGCAAATGCTGGTCCATCTATGAAACTTGCATTTGATTATCTCTACAAAGATGCATGCATCCATATAACAACCCTGTGAGATAGACATTATTATACCTGCTTTACTGAGGTATAGAGAGATGAAATAATTGCTCAAGGTGTCACTGCAAGTATCAAAACTGAGAAAAGAATTCATGCAACCTGTTTTACCAGTGACCACGGTTTGCTTCAGTGATAAGCATTTCTGGGAGCTACAGCTATGTTCCTACATTCTGAACATAGGAACTGACAATTTGGGTCATACCTCAAGTCTGACTAGCCGAGGACCCTGTCTGACAGGCTAGTAATAGGTATTTCAGGGAAAGGTGAAAGGGAATCTGACCTCAGCCTGGATTCTAAGAGGTTGGGTTAAGCCCCAAAGCATCATCAATTAATTCTGATAACTCTAGACCAGTGGTCTTCAACCTTTACAACCAAGATCACTTTTTAAATGAGAAGCCTGCAGTCTAGACATAGCCTTGCTGTCCCCAGGCCTTATTCATTCTCACTGGGTTGAGACAGGATGTGTGGGCTTTGGGGCGAGAATGAGGAAATCGGGTGTGGGAAGGGGTGAGACGTGCAAGCTCTGGGAGGGAATCTGGATGCAGGAAGAGGTGGAGAAGGGGATGCTGGGTCAGGGAGGGGGCTCCAGGCTGGGGAGTGTGGGGGTCTTATGGGGACTGGAGATGCTGAGAAAGCCACAGGCTTGTGAATGTGAGGGTGCAGGAGTTTGGGTTCGGGTGTGAGAGGGGATCAGGGAAAGGAGGCTGGAAGTATGATAGGCTCAGGACACAAATTTGCAGTGTGTAGATGGTGCAGGAGTGTTGTGGCAGAAGACTGGGGATAAGGGGGTGCAGGAGTTTGGGGATCTGAGAGGCCCAGGGCACAGGGTTCCAGTGTATGATAGACTCAGAATTGAGCCTGGAGACGGGGTGTGTGCACGCGTGCATGCACAGGAATATTATGATGCTGCAGCCAGATGGGGGCTTGACTCCAACTGGGATTTGTTGGACAGGCTTCATTTTTAAATAAAATATGTCAAAGAAAAGGTTTCAGCATTGTCTGTTTATGAGGGGGACAGGGAACCTGTTTTGAGACAGGGGTCTCTGACCCACAGAAAAGTCAGTCAGGGCCACACAAGTGAGATGATAAACAACCCCTCCAAAACCCCCAAACCTCCCAAACCTCACTAATGTGGCCCCCAACAGTGCTGGTGGGGACAGGGAATATGGTGCTGAGGCAGGGTGCTGGTGGGTGCAGGCCAGGGGAGGAGACAGCTTGGGCCAGTACCTAGAGATCCTGAAGCTGCACACCAGGCCTGGGTCTCAGGAAGCATGTGTGCTGCTCCCTGCTAGACCTCCCAAAAGCTGGCACACTTCCTGAAACACCAGGCCTGTCATACACGCGTGTATGTGAGAAAGACACTCACTCTTCCCCAACACAGGAAGTCAGTAGGGGAAGGAAATCCCCAGCATATGACAGAACTGGCATTTCAGGAACTGTGCCAGCTGCTAGGAGGGGTGGGGGGAAGGAGAGAGAGAGGGAGCAGCTCATGTGCTTTCTGAAACCCTGGATGTGGCACGCGGATGTGGGACCTCCCTCCTCCCCCAGAAGCCAGCACTACCTCCATTGTCATTGGAGGTAGCATCAGCAGGGGCTTCTTCTTGGGGGTTGGAGGAAATAGGGAGGTTCCCAAACTTTTTGCGATCAACTGGTCAAGCGCCTCCCCTCCCGGTTGATAGGTTGGTGAGCACGGCTCTAGATAATCTCATTCCCTAAACAGGCTGACAGTTCTATGAAACTGTCCCATTTGGGTCATGCCAATGAGCAAGCCCTTGATTGCACTGGAAGGAAAACATATCTCCCTATCTCTGTTGCTGTTTTCCACTCCCTGTATATTCTTTCCATCTCACCTCAGCAGCTGAAGAAGTCGCAGGACAACGATGAAGTAAAATGACATGTTAAACTCCCTTGCCAGGAGACCCAGAAATGCAAACAGAGTGACTGCAAAATCGAAGCTGGAAAAGCAAGAGAGAAGGGCATGGTTTAGCTTGGAGAGGGGCAGAGTGCTCATGGAAAAAGGGAAAGGTTGGAGGGGGTACTGGAATTGCCTGAAGAACCCCCTACTGAAATGAAGTATTCTAACCTATCAGCTTAAGGCTTGTTTTGAAAGAAGGCAACTACATCCCAGCAATCACCACTAGGCTCCTCATATTTTGCAGTTCTGAGTTCTCTATCATTAGCTCCCCAGCTGCATTCAGCTGATTCAAATTCACAAGTGGCTCAAGTGATACTGATGCCATACAAGGCAGCACGAAATCTTTGGGTGTTCTACCTCCAGTCCCCCGTTCACTGTACATAAGAAGCAAACTTACCGATTCCATCCAGAGGACAGATATTCAATAGGTCCCAGGCCAATGATTTTCAGAAGCACCTCTGCTCCAGAGACTGTAAAACAAGACAGTATACAAATCCTTACATGAACCACACCATTGCTATTCTTTGTCTGCAGCTTGAGCACACAGATTTAATAAATTCCCATTCCCTCCCTCCACATTTATCCTCAAAGGGATGCCAAGTGTGCCCCACTTCCTTTCTAGATCACTAACTTCTCCATATACTCAGATGGCAGTCTGGAACGCAATTTAGCTACAGTGCTAAACATTCAGACCTCTGGACCAAAAGGCTAGTCAGTCATCCAGAGGAACTTCAGGGCACATAATCCCACTTGTCTAATTTAGCTTCTAAGGAATAAGCTCATGGGGCCATAGGAAGTATTCTTGCACAGAGGGGGAGAGGGAGAGAAACTGTTTCATACACTGCCACAATAGCACTTTGCCAAGTTTTTGGATTAACAGAACATTATGCCACCTGGCAACAGTTCAATGATCAAAGTTTATCTATACATCTGGGGATAAAAACGTAAATATAATCATACTTGGTCAGACCAGCTGTCCATTTAGCCCAATACCCTGTCTTAATGACAGACTGAATACTTCAGAAGATATGAACAGTGATCCAACCCTAGCTTCTGGCTGTCCGAGGTTTAAGGACACTCAGATCAAGGGGTTGTACTTGGTCATCTTAGCTAATAGGCAATGATGAGTTCATGGAGGATACTCATCCATCTAATTCTTCTTTGAACTAAGTTGTACTTTTGGATTTCATGACATCCCCTGGCAACAAGTTTCACAGGTTGACTGTGCACTGTGTGAAGTAGTACTTCCTTAAATTTGTTTAAAACCCTCTGCCTATTAATTTCATGGGTGAACCAGATGCACATATTATATTATAATCTTATTGACTCCACTCCATGTCATTCATGATTTTATACTCTCTCTATCATTCTCTATAAGTCTTTTCTTAAATCCATCTTTTTATTTTTTAATCACTGTTCATGGAGAATGTTCAGTAATCCTAATTATTTTTATTTCCATTCCCTGTACTTTTCCAATATATCTTTGAGGTAGGGTGACAAATACTGCATGCAGTTCTGAAGGTGTAAGCATAGCATGGATTTATATACTGTAATTATGATACTTTGTCTCACTGGCTAGCTCTTTCCTAAAGATTGTAACATCCTGTTAGCTTTTTCACTCGTACTGCACATTGAGAAGGCATTTTAGGAGGACTACCCACAAGGACTTAAGATATTTTGTGAGTGGTAAAAGCTAATTTAGATCTCCTCATTTTGTATGCATAGTTAACTAATTAAAAGCTACCATGCACTAGTTTCCAAGTTACTTGTTTCCATAACTAGTGGTTTGAGATGTGCTGCTCATGTCCATTCAATGTAGACATGTGCCTGACACCTGAACCAGTGCTAGAAGATTTTCCCTTAGACGTATCCATAGAAGGAACAGGAAGGTTCAGGCATCCCTTGGAGTGGCGCCCACATATCACAGTTCCTTCCACCCTCAGGCCAGATCTATACTACACTCAGAAGGTCAGCTTAAGGTATGCAACTCCAGCTATCTAAAAATCATAGCAGAGTCAACATACCTTAAGTCAAGCTTGGTGCCATCTCCACAGCAGAAGGCTGATGGGAGTAAACATTACCATCAACTCTTACTCCTGGTAAAGTAAGGGGTACTGGTGTTCACAAATGATATGCTAAATATTCAATTTTGTGAGTCCTTATTAGGCCTGCTAAATCAAATGCCAGAAGCTCTCCAGTGCAGTAAGTACAGATATGGGGAAGGAGGAAGGGATGTTGAATAGACATGAATACATCTTCAAGAGCACCAGTTGAAGAAAACACCATTATCAGTTTCTGTAAGTGCTAGCTCATGTCCATTCAATGTATGTGGCAACAAGCAGTATCTCTGGTGCTGGTGGGGGGAGTTTACAGGCTTATTGTGTCAGGACATAAGTGAAAATTCACTGAAGACCACATCTCAGCCTGGCAAATCTCTTGTACAGCAATGTTGGCAAGGAAGGCTGTAAAAGAAGCCTGCATTCTGGTTTATTGGGTCCCCGACGTGTAGGGGCAGCAGTGCACCTGCCAGTTGGTAGCAATTCCAAATGCAAGAGATTATCCAACTGGAGATCCTCTGGGTGAATATCAGAAGCTCATTCATTTACTCCGCATATGCAAGAAAGAACTAGGGCGAATTACAGAAGGGCTCTTTTTTAATAAGTGTAAACAGCCAGGGTCCTGTGGATATCCAGGGAATGCAGTCACCTTTCCTTGTTGATTGCATGAGGTTTTGGAGAGAAGATCAAGAGGAAAGTGTCTTGTTCCCTGTGGAAGGCTGAGACCACCTTCGGTAGGAAAACAGGTTGTGGTCACCAAAAAAGCCACTTTACAGACAGTTGCCTGGAATGGCACAAGGAACTCCACAGGTTCCCAGGTACCTTTGGGGTAGTCAGGCTTGTGGCCATTGAGCAGTCTGAGAATCTGTCTGCAGTACTAACAGCCTCAGGCAAGATGTCTGAGCTGGAGGCTTCGAAACCAGGCTGATGAAGATGAGGAATGAGGACTGATGTTGGTGCAGTACCATACACTGCTAAAGAAGTAGATACTGTGGATAGGGAGAAGCAGCATGAACAGACATTCCCCAGGGGATGACTGCTGGGAGACCTGTAGTGCAATTGTCGATGGCTGGCTGACTCGTACTGGATTTGAGAGAAGCACCACAAAACAGAGCAGGACTGCTGATTCCTGAGCTTCTCAGACACACTGTATGCAAGTGGGAGATGGAGAGCAGTGATAGGTGCCAGTGACCAGTGTCTCAAACAACATTCAGACCACAGTAATGGTTCTGAGCCAACTGTCCATATGCCTCTGGGGATCTGTGTCTAAGTCCCAGAAAGCCTCACCTCAAGTCTTCTGCTGAACAGGATCCTGCAGATGACTAAATCAGGCTGTGGACATTGCAAATCTTGCCACGTGGAGATGAGGAAGAAGATGTCCCTCCCAAGAGGAAGCAAGGACTCTGTGGAGGCCAGAGAGGTGCCATGGCAGGTTTCCCCTTATGGCATGGTTCTGCAATTACAGGTGGGGGTTGTATGGTTCTGTGATTACAAGTGGGGGTGGCACCTACATCAACATGATGTCCTGAGCTGCTTGCAAGGAAGGAGCAGGAGAGCATCACTCCAAAGGGGCCTTAGTTTGGCTGGACTGCAGCAGAAATGTCAGCGGTGGCTGGCATCTTGGGCTTATTCTTCTTAGGCCCCATAGATCTGCCCTGCTCTGCCTGGGCTTTCGTGATGCTGGAGATCAGTGCCAGGAGGCTGACAGCACCATTGGAGCACTGCACACTGATGCACTAGTGTTTGGTACAGAGACTAAATGGTCATGCACAACAACTAAGGTGAATTCCATTCAGAAAGCTTTGAGATGAATTCCCTCTCCTTTTTGGCAGGAGGCTTGAACAATCTGCAAATGCATCATTTGTGCGCATCTAAGCACCACAGTGAGGTCACTAAATGGCATGGGCCCACTGCAACTGTAACATGATTTGAAGCCTGGGGATCAGAGTGTGCTCTGACCAGAGGCTAAATTCCTATGGGACCTACATTAACTTGAAACAATAAACTAACAATGAGAACTTGTTACAGGGAAAACAGAGTCCAAAGAAATGGAAAAAAAGAGTGACGGCTAACGCTGAGGAGAGCTGGTTCCAAGCACCATCATTAATGGCAAGAAGGAACAGAGGGATGAGGGGACCAGATGCACCCTATATAGTGAGACATGTGTGCACCACTCCAGGGGGCACCTGAGCCAGTTCCCCTATGTATACTGCTAAGGGAAAATCTTTCCGCACGGATACATGTAGGCACACACACATACCTACACTGAATGAACAGAGCAAGCACTCAAAGAAAATTTTGGGTAAATTTTGAACTGCAATAGGACGAGAACTTGCAGGATTTGAATTCAGGACAAAGTGAAAGACATTACAAACACACTGTGGTGTGTTATTTTTTTATTTTCCTCCCTACAAGAATTACATTTAATTACATTATGATGACTATTATGGAGTCATTCACTTCTTGGACTGTGTGATCTCACAGCATTAAATTCAGATTTGCCTTGCCCTTTGGAAGTTCCAGGACTTGTTCAGGAGCAGTCATAGAGATTGTGTCTAGAGATTTTATTTTGCATCCCACCCGGAGGTGATGTATATCCGGTCAATACGAGGACAGTTGAAATTCCATTATTGGATTTTCTGGTTTTGTAGCTTCTAACCTCCCTGAATATTTCACAAATCATAGACACTATCTGGTCAAGTGATCAATAATCTGTTCCAACAGTTACATTACTACTGAAGCAAGACATTTTTATCCACAAACATTCTATGATACTGTTTGATTTATTTCAGATTTTTCCTATATTTGACACTGGTTTATTTCACATTCAGTGCCAGTTACCCCAGCATAAACTGCTCTATCATTCCACTATTTTGTAGCTGTAGCTTACTGTGTCCCATTGATTATCATTGTTCCACCACGTTTCTGCGATGCCTATTGTCTCAATATCCTCATTTAATACCAGCCACTCAAGCGTTAGCATTTATACTTTTTGCATTAGCAAATACACCATAAAGTGTGTCAATATTTAGGCGCCTGTTTTTATGTGATATCGCTGATTAGAACAACCCCAGTAGGAAAAAAAAAACTGCATCCTAATAAAGGAAAACAGACTTTTTTTCTTACTCCACAGGACTCCTCATATAGTTAGTGGGAGGTTAGCAAACAGTTTTGGATTTCATCAAAAGTGTTTTATTGCAATAGTCAGCTTTACATGAACAGCGTTAGGTCTGATTCAATCAAACTGCCCAGCAGCGAAAAATAAACATTGCCTATACGAGAGGATGAGCTAATTCTGTCCTGTAGTAAGCCCCGTGGCAGAGCAACACATTGGCATGCAGATTAAGATCAGGCTCACTATTGCCTTGGACTATTCAGGAGAACTAGAAATACAGTACCATGTGAGAGCAGGAACTTGATTTTTCAAGACATCCCATTTGTTTTAAGTGGTGTTGACTGGCTCAAAGAAGTCACCACCTCCAAAATGGATGGAAGACTACTCAGAGTTAAAGTTAGGAAAGGAAGTGCAATGGAAGAAAATGGAAAAAGATTCTAGGATAAATTAAGGAAAGAGGAGAGTTCCACAAAACAATTAGCAAAGTAGGAAATAAAGAGGGTCTTGCTTCAATAGACAGCAGAGGTGCAAAAGCTTTCCTTCACAGCACCAGCATCACCTAAACAAGAAGGCAAAGTCCAATGAAATCTTTACTTAGGAAGGTGGCTTTCAAAGAAATGGAAGCTTTGATCCCTTTAGTGACTAAAGTGCACAGCTGAGAAACCCCAATACTGAGAATTCCCCAGCTGTAATGGAAAAGGGCCATGCTGGTCTGGCAAAGCAACTTACTTGGGAGGAAGATGATGTAACTCCAAGAGACATCTCTTCTGAAGACGCTCCCACCTGCAAGGCACAGAAACAGCACCTTCTCAGAGTGCTGATCAAACTTATGGAAGCAGACAAGTCAAGAAACAAACCACATATTTCCTACCTGGCAGCATGAAGGTTTCAATAAGAATCCAGATCCCATTCACAGCCACCACAGTATCTGGAAAATAAAATGCACAGTTTCAATGAAAAGCTGTTGAATAGTCAGACATTAATTTTCTAATTCTTTAGGAAGGCGGTCATATCTAATGGCTAGTCCTGTGCCCTAAACATCAGAAGATCCAAATTCTATTCCCACCTTTTCCAATCTTACACACTTAATTCACTGGCAAACCCTTACAAGTTTTATGCCTCAGTTTCACAGGATATAAAATGGAACATAACAATTTAACCACTTATATATAAAGTGCTTTAAGATCCTCAGAAGAAAATGTATGCTGTTGAAACTGCTGACGTGCAGGTATTCTTCTTGGTAAATTATTCTCTACATTGACCTGATATTATTTCTGTATTTCAATCTCTCCAGAATTGTTCCAGAACTGTATAAAGCTCCTAAGTCAGTTACAATGTGGGAAGGATACAGCACCATCACAAGGCTCCTATAAGCCTTCTTTAGGTCCCACCATTAAGCCATTGGGACACCGAGGATGCCAGCTGTAGGAACTCTACCCTTCACTCTTCTTTTTCCTCCCTTCATTCTATCATCAGAATTAGCAAAACAGTCAGTTTTCTTACAGAATAAAAAAAACTATAAGAATTAGACATTAGCATAACAAGTTGGACCAGGAGTCGTACATGCTCTCCACTACAGAGAAACAGCAGCAGAATCACTGTCAAGTTTAACACAAATTCCAAGCAATATCCCTGGAATTAAGCTCATTGAACTTTCTGATGTTGAGTAAAGCACTGTGTGTCAAATCCTTGCATCAACATCCTCAACTGCAGTGTCAAAACTGAAAGCATATGAAGTATAATCATGCACCATCTGAAATGCAACAGGATGTTAGAAGAAACCAGTCCCACAAAAGAAACTACAAAGTAATGTATAAACTAGCCCTTAGGAGAATCCCACATGCACACCCAAAAACTCCCTCCCTAAAAGCAAACAAGCACAGGAATTATGATGTATACTGGGATTCCAATCAGAGATCAGGTTCCATTGCACTAAGCAGTATACCAACACGTAAGAGAGAATCCCTACCTCAAAGAACAAAGAGCTGAGCAGGTAAAGTCATGAGATTTTGTTTTTCACACTTACACATTAAATACTGGAATCTTTGGGACTTCACCAGAATGTTAATACCTGTATTAAGAAAGGAAATGTCACAAGCAAATCTTTTTTTTTAAACAAAAAAACTACTTAAATAACCACATGTACAAAACACTCCCTCTTCTTCCTGTATTCAATGCCCCCACTCCAAGGTTAGTTAAGCTAATTTTTAATATCCATCCTAGCATAGGATCTAGATATCTCAGTGAATAATAATGCACTTATTTGTCTTTCACTTGTGTCCTGAGTTTAAACCCTGATCTAGAACTCAAACAACAAAGGTGTGTCAGTTCTCACCCTGTCGCAGTTCCAAATATCCCCATGTTGTGAAACTAATACACAGTTCAAATTGAGATGTCAGTCATTGCCAAGTTCTAGTAAAGTGGAAGTTATAACTTGGAGCTAAATTGCATTAGCACAGCCGCATAATGATCTTGTATAGCAACTGCCTGCACTAATCTTGATTCAGGCTATTTGTTCCTCACTAACTTACAAAGTCTAGGAGCGGTAGTTGGGTTAGTCTGTAACTTTCAAAACCAAACACACAGTCCTGTGACATCTGCTTTCATGGGCAAAACCCACTTTTTCAGAGGACATTATCTGAAGTGGTTACTTGTACTGAGCCACATTATAACTTCTACTATTTCCTTTACAGCAGCTGCATGTATCCTATGCAAATGATGCATCCACCTAAGTCTATGAAGACCAACCTCTGGGACCACAAATCTACACCACAGTCTATTGCTGTTGGAGAAGAGCTGCAGCCTCAGATACTGAGAAATGAATCTTCTGGACTCAGCCAGTACGAGCAAACTAGAGTGCTGCATCAAACTCCCAAGAATGCTTATCAGAAGAGGAATCCATTCATAGGCGGGCTCAGTGTATGGTCTACTACAAGATATTTGTTAAGAAGCTGTCCTTTATGAAGGTAGTTTCTGAATCATTGCGCAGAATGTGTATTTATGTGACAGATGTCTTCCTCTGGAAGCCAAGAATGCAGTGTCTTGAGTGCATCATCAATTTATCTGGAGCATTTAAACTATATCTGTAAGTTGAGGTAATGTACAGAAAGACTCTTTTTTTAGAAGAGATGATTTTTAACAGATGATATTTGCTTCATCTGTTTTATTTAAAAACTATGTAAACATTAGGATACATAGTGGTGCATCCAGTTCAATATCCTATCTTCAGACAGTGGCCAATGTCACCTGTTTCAAAGAGAACAAACAGAATGGGGTAATCAAGTGATCCACAGAGCAATTTACCTTTAAAAATAAGAAATGCTGTCCGTGGAAGATCATCAAACCAGTGCTCGCGGTTTGGTTTTGCCTGGAAGTGGAACAGACCTGATCAGCAGAAGTATGAGTAGGGATTTATTTAAGTCAAATGAGAATGGAGCAAGACAGGAGGGAGAGATCCATCTTCTCCCCACATCATTTCTGTCTTGTTCCACAAAGTCTTTATTTTCTCCTTTACCTTGTAGATTTCCCTTTAGTCCTCATTCTCTTCTCTCACTCGCCTCCATTAACACTTACCTTCCACTTTAAGCTAACAGCTTCATAGAAATTGTAGAAATCCTTTAAACTGTAAGAGAAAGAAAAGGGTGAATCACATTACAGCTCTGTGAGATCTTGATTTTACCATCACAGATACTAAATCTTTCACTATTTAATTGTATCAAGTGCCTACTTGGTCACCTGTTTGTGAGAGAATTTTCTTTCAGAAGTTTACTAGAATTTCTCCAGTTAGCTCCTTGACCAAGCTAGCAGAAAGTCAACATTCAGCTATTGTTTGAGACAGATTTTCCTAAAGGCAAGTGGCCCTTATGAGAGAGTTAATGCTACCAGATTTCTGTAGCAAGGCCTGATAAATAAAGAGGCTTAAGATGAAATCCTGGCTCTAATGAACTCTAAGAGTTGCACCATGGACTCTAATGGAAGGAGAATGTCACACACACTTTAAACTTAGGGGCACTGATTTTGTCTACTTGCATACACTACATGGATATAAATAAATAAGGCAAGGGTTCACACCACTATTAATGTTTAATAGCTGTGGTGGTCAACTGCAAAGACACACAAGAATCCTGCAGGCACACGAAATAATGACAGTAAGTGTGGTCCAGATTTTTAAAGATGTTTAGAAGCCTAAAGATAAAGAATTGAAAAATCTCAGTTGGTGTATAGCTGCACCTTAGGCATCTAAAAATCATAAAAAATAAAAAGACTCTCTTGGTTTCTATCCCATCCACAACAAAACACACAGATTCTGAACTAACATCCAATTTCACCCCCTTCCTGGGGATTTCGTTTTATTGCAAAATAAAAACAATTTGCTACCACTACATTAGCTATGCTCAGTGTTTCCCTTGGGGTTTCCTTGTCCTATCACCCTAGATCTCTCTCTCCAAAGACTCTTTATATACAGATTGGGGGTGTTAACTAAGGATGTGAAATATCAAGTAATTAACTAATTGAATAGTCAATGCATTTTTGCATCGACTATTAAATTAGTTGATAGGGCATCTCCCCCTTTGAAGTGTAGCAACTGAAGGGCTGTTGCTACACTTCAAAGGTGAAAGTGCTGCATGGAGCCCAGGGTTAGCTGGGGACTCCCCCACTGACTTGGGTTTCATGTGGCACTACTGCTTTGAAATGCTGCATGCAGCCTGGGGACACCCCAGCTGGCTGGGGGCTGCATGTGGCATTTCAAAGCAGCAGCACTGCATGGAGCCCAAGGGCTGGCCCCAGGCTCCACACAGTGCTTCTGCTTTGAAGTACCCCTTCCTCTTCCCCCTCCTTGCTGCCTCTAATAAAGGTGGCAAGGGGAGAAAGTGACTAATCAACTAGCCTGTCTACTATCCAATAGTCAACTAGTCCTTCACATCCCTAGAGTTAACTGGACATGCCCAACTGCATGATTCAGCAGTGATTACTTTGAATCTTAATACAAAATTCTGCAGTTGTTTTAAGAGCTCCAGTAGAGCACTGCTTTAGTGAAATGTCAGGGGACATAACCTGGGAACTTGTTAAGCTAAAGTTGCATTGCACGTGCAGAAGTTCTCCCTTCATTGGGTGTCACATGTCCAAATAGGGTTCTCTGTTTCTCCTGATTCTCAATTCTCCTGCTTCTCTTTTACCCAACTCCCTTTGCTTCATAGCTGTCATCACAGTATTCTCTCTCCAACAGGACAGATGGAAAAGCCATCCCTTGGCTAGATCATAAAGCAGGGGATTATTCACTTGACTCTTTTGAAGCTTAAATTCACCCCCAATAGACCAAGAAATTCACCCCCAATAGACCAAGAAATTCACCACCAATAGACCAAAATCTCAGAAATGTTCCCCAAACCTGAACTGCGTCAAAGCTTGCATTACGGATTCATTTTCATTGATGAGCCACACCATTCCCTCTGACATATGGTATGGTTCCAAAGTGCCAAGAACCCTGTAAAATGCTGCCCCTTTTCTAGACTGCAGAAGCAGCATCCTACCTCAATAAAGGTGTAGTGCTTTGATTCAGTGCTTTGAAAGTAAGATAATGCTCTCTGGTGCGCATCCGAGGCTTATAAAATCGCATCAGCCCTTCAAAGTGTTTGAAGGAGATACCAGAAGACCTCTGGAAACACAGAAAGGGGCTGCCATAAGTGAAGCTGTAGGAGGAAGCATAGGAACACTAGGGCAGTGCAATTACTTCTCTTAGAGCGGCTTCTAAGCAATATTTAAATGTTAGGATAAGATGATGTTACCTCTAAAAGGCATACCCTCACTTACTCTAGAACCTAAATAGGAAAAAACCCGATGTGATTAGTTCCTCCACATAGGCTATGTCTACACTGCAGAGCTTATCTTCCGGGATAAGCTCTGCCACATCCAAAGACTGCATTTGCTTTTCCAAAAATTTGCTTTTCCAAAAGTCTGCATTTGCTTTTCCAAAAATTATGCATTCCTAAACATCCCAAATCTGATGAGGAACAGGGACTTAAATAAACCATAGATATTTTGTTTTCAGCATCCCTGTAAACCTTGCTCAGAGGAAGAAGGCATGTTCTGAAAGAGAATCTCCCTGCCACATTTGGCCCCTTGTAGATGGGCCAAATGTCAGCAAAGCCTCTTTCGGGAGAAAAGCGGATAGAAATATGCAAGTTTTGCAATTTGTGTATATTTTTCTGACTTTTCTTTGTAGTGAAGACATAGCCCAAGTCTCTTGACTAGCACAAGATCGTTCTCTGTTCTTCCACTAAAGTTTTGTCTAAGTCCTAAGCAATAGACCAATAGAAGTTAGTACACTGAAGTTAGTAAATGTAAATAATGTTCTCAGGTGGACTTACTAACACAGTTCAGGGCCAGGATATTTTTACTGATACTTAGCCTACATTTTCCCTTTTCAGTTTCATCTCATTACTCTTCACTACAGGCAGTCCCTGACTTACACGGATCCGACTTATGTCGGATCCGCACTTACGAACGGGGCTTTCTCGCCCCGGAGGTCGAGGTGGCGGATTGCTGCCTGCGAGCTCCGGGGACTTACTAACACAGTTCAGGGCCAGGATATTTTTACTGATACTTAGCCTACATTTTCCCTTTTCAGTTTCATCTCATTACTCTTCACTACAGGCAGTCCCTGACTTACACGGATCCGACTTATGTCGGATCCGCACTTACGAACGGGGCTTTCTCGCCCCGGAGGTCGAGGTGGCGGATTGCTGCCTGCGAGCTCCGGGGCGAGAAAG